CCCCCCCCGGCATCTAAGTCGATTATCCAGAATCTTGATCAAGCCGAGCGGGAGGAAGTATCATGTACTCCAGTGCTCCATCCATAATAAATGAGCCAGCATTCAATTAAAATCCCTCTATTCATCTCCAACTACGATAAAAACTTATTAGTATGGTCTCGAGGCCTCTGTCTGACACCGCGAGCCAGCCTTAATCATCCTGCATGTCTGGGATGCAGTTGGCGCTCGGCGCTCTTTAATTGCCTCAAAGTTCAGACGCCCTTTTGAGAGACATGACTCGAAGATTTAAAGAGACGAACGCAATGAGGAGAATGCGCAGACGGCTGATGGTGGGAACTTGTGCCAGCAGCAACTTTTTAAAGCCTCTTTTTTTTTTTTTTTAAATCGACTTTATATGAAGCCCTTAAACGCTTTGAATAAATCATATTGTCTCTGCAAACACTGAAAGTGGACATGTGTGAATTTATGATGCAGGCACAATCAGCCCGCTTGGCAGGACCATAAAATAGAAAGGCATACATATTTTAACACATTTGGTGAAACAGAACACTAGTTTTAGTAGTAGATAGCTGTTAAAAAAAAAAAAAAAAAAAAAACACACAACAGGGCTGAGCTGTAAAAAGGTGACCACAATTATATGCATGCTTACAAAATAAGTTAAGTATTGTTGTAATTCACGTCTATGTGTTGGGGAAGGGGGAGTGTGTTTTTTTTTTTTTATTGTTTTTTTTTTTAAAGCAGCTGCCTTGACTGCCTATACTTCCGTGCATTTTAGCTGCTGAGATGACACACTTCACTCTTTCAAACACAGGTTGGGGTCCATAGTGTATGTAACTATGAATTTTGTTAAGTATTGTTTTAAATCGGGCGAGTGCCGGTTCTGACAGGGCCACCACTTAAAAAGGTTTAATGACGGACCCTGTTCAGCTGCAACTGCTGTCCGAAACTAGTGCGACCACAAAACCTTTAGGCTTTGGGTAGGAAGCAAATGAAATATCAGGAAAAGCCTACTAGAACAGCCGAAATTCATTTGGGGTTAATCGGCGGCACGTTCATCGATGTCATATTTGTGCTCATTTCACATAATTTGAATGTGATTGGTTAACTATGAATGGAGTCCCATTCGCTAGTTATGCTCTTTATTTTTGTTTTACTTCCTCTCTTGAAAAGACTAACCCAAAAATTGAATTGAGTTATCACGGTGGAGCAAAATTTGAAAGGATTAATCTTCACATTAATCATATTTTTTTACATCACAAAAAAACAAGTGTTTTGAAAACGGGGTGGGGGTGTGTAGACTTTTGATATCGATTGTATGTTAGTCATCCCTTTTGACATGTGCTACCTTGGCCCAAAAGATGTTTCCCATGTCAACATATTAATAGCACGCGTGAGCTTCACATACCAGGGTGAAGTCGAGCTTCTGTTACGCAATTTTTCTCATCCCGCATTGTTCATGGGAAGTCCAGCTGAGAGACATTGATTCAGCACAGATGACCGTTTGCGGTGACTAATAGCGGTCATATTTTTAAGTCTCGCAGATTGAGTCCAAACATGCGCACCACAGGAATCTCAAACAATAAATTTCCACGGCGCAAGTCATGGGAATCTCGACTGAGCGGCGCTTTTTCCACATCTCTTCGAGTTCACGGCGTAGTAAATGTCAATTGGTTTGAAATGTGCCATACAAGCAAAAAAAAAAAAAGCAAACTGTAGTGTTCATTGCAAACATTGCACACTGATAAGCTTATGTGCGCATATGAAAGTTAATTGTGTCATTCGCAGAAGCCACGCCTACTTGCAATTCGTTGCTGCAGTCGTGTTTGACTCCAGGGGAGGATTTAATGACATCCTGATATGAAGGGGCAATAATTCATGATAAGCTGCCTTCAATGATGCGGCCGCCCACACACCTCCTAGCTTTAATTTTCCCCTTCATCTAAGTGCCTCCCGCTCAGCGCAGGCAAGTTGCCGGAGTGAGGATGGGATAATTTGGCCTCAATTTGATTTTCAAATCATCAGTCGTGTCGCTCTTGCGTGTATTTTCTCTCTTCTAATAGCAGTCACAAAGAAGACACGAATGTACTTGACTATTCATTCTATCAATTTTTGAGAAAATATTTGGGACTATGATGCAATGTTTTTGTTTTGTTTTTTAAACGGCTAAAACGATGCCAAAATATCTACATGTTTCCAGGATTAGTGTGACCAATAGCCCGTTCAACTCAAGTGATTTGAAAAACAACTGCATTTATGTGGTTGCGTAAGTGTGCACACCCTATTTTAACTGGGATGTGGTTGAATTCAGAATGAACCAATCAGATTGACACGGGAGTCAGCACACAACTGCCACCGTTTCATGAGCCTCTAATTAATCCCCAAATAAATATCCGTGGTTCTTGGGGGGCCTTTGCTAATATCGCCTTTGCTTTCGTGCAGAAGTCGACAGATTTTTAGCTCACGACGACTGCTATTTTGAATGGTTCACAAGTCTATTCACCTTGTCTAAAAGGACAAGTGACTTGCTGTGGTCACCCCGACTGGCCGATGGTCACATCCTCCAATGGAAGTTTTGTTTTTTTTTTTCGAATTAAATGGCAGGTTGGATCATTTATGGGTCAGCTTATAGCTCATCTGTGAGGATTTGGGCTTTGGAGCTGGAGGACAGCAGTTTGAGCCTAGAAGCAGACAACATTTTCAAATTGCCAACCAGCTGGTGGAGGGATGCTGACCTGCTTGCTGGCTACTGTTGCAATGCCCTCGAGCAAGGCACCGTCCCCACCGCTGGCACCCAAAGAGGTGCAGCACTCATTTGTGTGCCCATTTCAACTCCGGATTTCTCCTTGCATGCCTGCAGTTGTGATCTGCTCCTCTATGTGGTTGTGCAAAACAAAAACACAAAGTGACAGTCGAATTTTCCCTTGTACATCATGATATAATAATTTACCAAACATGATGGCCAGTAGGTTACCCATCCCAAAATGAAGCTGTAACTTCATACTCCGACTGTGTATTTCTCACTGATTGGGTTTTTTTCTTTCTGTAATGTGCTAAAAAGATGATTGACAGTCCATAACAAACAGTAAATGTCCAAGCGATGAACCGCATTTTAGAACTTCATACTAAGTTCGAAAAAATGTCACATGCCTCACGATAAGATAAAAGAGCGCATGTGATGTATGCCTGCCAAGTGTATACAGTATAAGACTGATATCTAATTAACATACATATCATGATAGAGATGTTTTGCATATATTATTGAATGTTTTGGAACGTGTACCCTTATTTAGTAACAGATACACACACGCGCGCGACAGAACCAACGGCACATCAACCGAGTTACGGCGACCGATGTAACATTCAGTAAATACTGAGGAGTTTACATTTCAACATGCACCATCAAATGATCTTCCAAGTTGAGTCCTCTTATAAATCCACCTGGCTTTTCCTGCAGAGGATCTTTTTAAAGGACCTGCGGAAGTCGTTATTGAATATGGTGTAGATGACCGGGTTGAGGGAGCTGTTGCAGTATCCCAACCAGAAGAACATTTTGAAGAGCGTCTCGGGCACGCAGCACACGCACACGGCCGTGAGCGTGTACGTGAAGAAGAAGGGGAGCCAGCACAGGACGAACACTCCCACCACCACGGCCAGCACTAAAGTGAAACGTTTCTCTCGGCGCTGTCTTCCTTTCCAGCGGCTGGAGTCGGCCTCCGACTTTGGGGCGGCTTCTCCGGGATTGGCCATCCGGGCGGGCCGCCTCTTTTTCAGGGAGCATAAGGTTATTTCGTGGCCGTCGGATGATGAGTCATCGCCGAACTCCCCGTTGGCCTCGCCTTCCTCACGCTCCGGGCGTCCGTTTTCTCGTGACCTTTCACCCGGCGGGGTTCTTGTCCTCAGCTTGGCCACTTGGTAGATCCTCACGTAGACCAGGACCATGATGGCGCAGGGCGCGAAGAAGGAGGCGGTGCTGGAGAAGATAATGTACCACTTCTCGTCGTTGATTTCACACTGCGGTCGGTCCTCTTGGCCCTTGTCCTTCTTCATGGTGATCAGCGGTGGGAAGGAGATAATGGCCGCCAGCAACCAAACGACGAAGATGGTGCATTTGATCCGGTGCGGCGTCCTTCTCAGGTTGTACTCAATGGCTCGAGTGATGGACCAGTATCGGTCCAGGCTTATGGCGCACAGGTGGACGATGGACGAAGTGCAGAAAAACACGTCCAGCGCCAGGTAGATTTCGCACCACACCTTGCCAAAGTACCAGTAACCCATCAGTTCGTTGGCCAGGGAGAAAGGCATCACCGACGTGGCCACCAGGATGTCGGCACACGCCAGAGAAAGCAGGAATAAGTTCTGCGGGGCTCTGAGGGCACGGCTGGTGGTCACGGCGATGACCACCATGACGTTGCCAAAGACGGTAAGCAGGATGAGGACGCCCACCAGGAGGGTGAGAGGCGCCGAGGTCTGAGCGGTGTACGGGTGCCGGGCCGCCGCGGTCTCATCGGTCAAGTTCAAGCAGTCCATTGACACTCGTCTTGGATTGAAGACTATTAGCTGCACTCGGCATCAGTGGGAGCTGTCGACATTTTGTTCAAGTTCTCTCAGTTGAGAAAAAAAAAAAAAAGACAAAAAAATGCGACTGTGTTCCTACCCCTCCATATCTCAGCACTTCAAAAATAGATGCTTCAAATGAATCATTCAGGCACTAACCTTTTAAAAGAAGACACACAGATGGAGTTCAAGCAGATGTTTTGAGCAGGTGTGGTAGACTGGAGAGGGACTCTTTTTATACCACATGGATGTGACGCTACAAGCGAGGGTGGGAGGGCTCCTCCTGCTTCTGGAGGCTGCTACCAGACTCTGAAACCTAGTAATGGCACTGGCAGTCATTTTGATGTATTGGATTAATATTTATATATAGTCACCACAATGAGACTCTAACAAGATCCAATACTACTAAAAAAAAAAAAATACAAAAATAATACAGAGTAATTACGTGAGTCAAGTCTTCATTTTAACAGTCATTCTTAATTTGCCGCATAGTAGATCTAGGAAATTGAGCCAAATGCCCATTCTTATTGCGATTCATTTATCAATGTGCTTATTACTGCGATGTGAAAGTGTATTGCATTTCAGCCAGAGCAGTTTTTAATATTGTAGTTATTCAGCTGCGGAAGCGCAGTGAGTGACGCCGTGGTTAGCACACCTGGCTCACAGTTCTGAAGATCAGGTTTCATATTTCTGTCGGATTCCTGAATGTTTGGGTTTAGGTTGTCCGTGGGCTTAAATGTGAGCGTGACTTGCTGTTTGTTTACGAGTGACTTAATGGCCAGTCCAGGGGGAACCCCGCTTCTCTCCCCGAAAATTAAAGACTCTAATTATGACAAGTAAGAATGAAATTGGACGGACAGATAGATTAATCCGATACACAAATGACTAAAATATGACAAATACTTCTCAATGTTTTGCATAAAGTCATATACCCATTCAAAATCAGATTTTAGGGGATTCAATTTAATCCTGTTTGGGCATCTCTAGCCTGAAACGGTTTGGAAGTGGATACAAGTTCGTCAAAGGGTTTGAAGGGCTTATTCTTATCTTATTTCTAAACGGACTCTTATTTTTCGTACATTTTCAAAAACGATCCGTCGTCAACGTATTTGTGGAAAAATATTGAGACTGTTTTGCTAATCATGGCCGCTGGGGACGTCCTCGAGCTCAATCGAGATTCGTGGATGTTATCGCGAGATTTCCATCGAAAGGACAGCTTGTACGACGTCCATTCTTGTTGTTCCACACAGCGGATTGTTTATTTGCCTTATTGAAGACGTGAGACTTGAATGCTTGCTTATTTTATTTATCATTCGCAACCATTCAGAGGTAAGTTTAGTTTTGGAAAATGTTGTGTTCACAATTATGAAGGGTATACTTCATTTCTTTCTGTCCTTTTCTCTTTCGCCGCCGGTCGTTAGCATTAGCATCCAGCGTGATAGCGAGACGTCGACGAACGAAGGCCGAAGCTAAGAAATATAACCAACTTTTTATGGCACCGTGACGTATAAGCTAATGTTTATTTTTAGTTTTAGCTCCTTGCGTAGACTGTGTGTTTATGCGAACTGAAACCACCACGTCGATTCGATCGCCAATGGCATATTTTCCGATCTCCATACTGCGTGCTAACGCACGCAGCTAGCCGACACACCGCGAGTGAATTGTAGTGTTGGATGCCGTTCCGCAGATGTCGGAGGACTTGGTGAAACAGCTCGGCAGCTACAAAGCTCAGCTACAGCAAGTTGAGGTTGCCTTGTCCACCGACCAAGACAATGAGGATCTCCTCAAGCTACAGAAAGACTTGCAGGTTTGTTTCGATGTCTGTCACGACGAGTGAAGGCATAGTCGGCAGTGACAAAGAGTCGCTGCAGAAAAGAGTTCATAATGGGAAGTATAGTATTTTTCACAGTGACGTCTCACTTAGTGGCGAATGTTTGTGTGTGAGCACATAGCGAATGTTTTTGTCAGGCTTACAATTAATGTTGCAAACAGCTCTAAAAGATGTTCGCCAAACATTCCCAAACAGTTTTAATGGTTGCAAACAGTTTTTCTTGTCGACATCAAATTTTGGACCTACTCAAAATTTCTTTGGTAAAGAAAAAAATGTTTTGAGACCATTAAAACTACATTCGCTACCTGCGCACACACTTGCAAACCTGCACCGCTGAGTGAGATACGGCCTGTTTTGATACAAGAACAACTTTCATAATAGCGACACATTTAGTGACTTTTTAACTCTCCTACATGCTTTAAACACATTGAAACCCATTAAAAGGCACTTTTCCAAAATTCCTTCGAGCTTGTTCTAACTCTGGTGAAATAGGAGACTGTCGAATAACATCACGATGAGGAAGCATATATGTTATGAGTAAAATCCACAATTAGGAATTAACAGCTGACCCCACGCTCGATTGTGATTTCTCCTTCAGGAAGTCATAGACTTGACCAAGGACCTCTTGGCCTCGCAGCCCGCGGAAGCTGCCCCCAGTGCCAATGGCACTGCCCCGACGCCCATCAGGCACATCTGGAAAGTGGGAGACAAGTGTTTGTCCGTGTGGAGTCAGGACGGACAGTGAGTGTTGCCTGTACCACCACAAACAAAAGACTCACCCGACTCAAAATGTCAATTAGTTATGACACACCAACTTGGCCATCACTGGCTGCAGATGATCACACGACATTGCTTGTCCAATCGGTGCTGCGGGAAATTTAGTTCGCTCAGTCGTCACCGTGTGACTGTCGTGATAGTACGTCATACAATTTAAAAATATATATACTTAGGCCATGTCATTTTATTTACTTTTTCTGTTTTTAATAAATATGTTTATTTAATGTCTTGAATTTAGTAAAAAAAAAAAAATCACTTTTTTTTCCACTGATGAAGGGTTCGGTGATCTGCACAATGAATTTCACTTTTTAAATTGCACCTCTAACGGCCACATTTTTCGTGGATCGTGTTCCCTGCTCATTCCCAATTCGCTGCTCGATATTTTCCGACTCGCTGATGTTTATTTTATGTATTTATTTTTACCTTTCCTCGATGATCGTGGGAAATCTCGCCTATAATCTCTGCGAATGTCTCAATGAATCTGTCGTCGCTTGTGATTGTGGCCCACCTGTGAACCGTACTCACCTGCTTACAGACGTGGCTCTTTTGCAGGGTGTATGAGGCCGAGATCGAGGAGATAGACCACGAGAACAGCACGGCCGCCGTTACCTTCACCGGCTACGGCAACGCCGAAATCATCCCCCTGCAGAACCTCAAAGCGGTGGAGGACCGCAGGCGCCTCGAAGACGACCTCGGCTTGTCCAGGAACAAATCCAGGTACGAGCAAAACATGTTCCCGCCTACCGTGGTCCACTCGACAGCAGCTCAATTGTCATTCTCCGCCTTCTTTACGAGTCTAGAAAGGAGCAGATCGCCGAGCAACGAGAATACAAAAAGAAGAAGGCCCAGAAGAAGGTGTTGAGGATGAAGGAACTGGAGCAGGAGCGAGAGGACCAAAAGTCCAAGTGGCAACAGTTCAACAACAAAGCTTACTCAAAGAATAAGAAAGGACAGGTAACAGGCCGCCAACCAGTTCAGGGCGTACGTCCTTTAGGTACGGCTTCCATTACTGGAACAGGATTGTATCTCCTCGTATTGCAAAATAAAATAATCACAATATTACAACACCAAGAGAACCACAGTAACATGCATATCACCAAATAAATTCTTCTTGGGCAACATCATATCTTCATATCTTAATGTTTTTCTTGTGTTTGCGTGCCTATTTACTCACGATGATCTTGTTTGTTACCCCAGGTGAAGCGAAGCATATTTGCATCTCCAGAAAGTGTCAACGGCAAAGTGGGGGTGGGCACATGCGGCATCGCCGACAAGCCCATGACGCAGTACAACGACACGTCCAAATACAACGTCAGGCATTTAATGCCGCAGTGATCCCCGCCTCTTCTGTAAATATGCTGTATACTGAATATAACCGCGTTGTCCATTTTGTGTGGGTGTAAACATGATTGAAAGAGGGAAAAAAAAAGTTGCAGTTACTTGCACACCATCGAATTGAAACTGTATGTTTTTCGGAATGTTTTGCAGGTAGAAGCTGTTCCAATTAGATAGGAAGTCACCCTTCTTTGTAATCGGGTCGCTTGTTATGTACAAACAGGAAGTTAGCTGCTCGTGCCCTAATTCCACCCACAGGTCGCTGTGGGTCACGCTCAACATTTCTCAGAATTGGTGTGTCAGTGTCAGGCTGTTTTATTTTTTTTTTTCTTTCTTTCTTTTTTCACTTGGAGAAGATCAAGAACGGCGCCGATGACGTGACTTAGCTTTGCTTTCTCCTTTTAATTTCTGTAATTTATAAAAGTCAAATAAACATCCATTTGTTGAGTTTGATAAACGACTGCCTTCTTATCATTGGAAGAACCACTTGCAGACTTTAAGCCGGCATCGACGACAACGTCAGCGATTCAAGCCGGACTTCAGGTCAGTGAGCATCCGATGGCCTACCTCGTGTGTGACGATAAAAACAATATGAACAATGCCATTCCGCATCGGTCGCTTACACGAATGCTAACACGCGCTGATACTTTTGTGAATTACAGCGACGCCTATAAAACGACGCTACTTCGCTTAAGATCTACCATCAAGTGGTGAGTCGTTTCTCTTTTACTTGGGTTGCGTTTGATGCTGGTGATTATGTACCCTTTACTCTAACGGGGTTTACTTTGTAAAATAGTTGATGATTTTGTATTGATATTGTGACACTGAATTAAAAAACAAAACTTAAGCAGGTAATATTATGATTATGTGATATTGTTAGCCGGAGTCACAATCTCCTTAACAGTGTAATCCAGTAATCTAGAAAGGTTAAATCAAGTCACCTTGCTTTAGCTTCTTTAAAACCCTTTCATGCACCAATAATGCTAACCTGATTACATAAACTGTCCACTGGAGTAACCGCTGTCCCTGAAAGGGTTAGTTTGTTGTATTTTAATCAGGCTTTCCCAAAAACTTTAAAAAAAATATAGGCAATTATACTTTTCGGCGAGCACTATTTAAAATTTTTTTTTTCAATTTATCAACGAAATCGTTGGGAGATAAAAACACGACTTAATTTTTTAAACTGCTTTTATAGTTATAGCCAAAACGGTAAATCTACATCTAGTATGGGAACAAAAGTCATGGAAAACGGCTCAAGTTCAACACACAATTGGGTCACATGTTGGTGGAAGAGATTTATTCAGATTCCAGGGAGTGTCGTCAGGAACCGTTACAAAGTATCAGTAGGGCACCAGCAGCATGTTTTGCAAAAAAAAAAAAAACAAAATCCCTAATCAAGCACTAGAAAACATCAGGGCTGTGCTTTTTTTCCCCCCACCCCCCAAACACAATTCCTATTTTTATAGTGCATTTTATACATTTCCCCAAAGACGTTGGGGTGATCAGGGACTTGTGCAAGAGTCATACACCCACATTAAGACACAATTTGGTGCTGATGGATTCACTAGCAGGGGAGAAAATGGATGAAAATGGGCATCGTTATTGTGGTCCTTGATGGTTTGGAACAGTGCAACAACGGGTGACCGTTTAAACGTTAAAAAAATCTAATAAAAGTGTTTTGTTCATGCTACAGACATTTTTTTTCCGTTACAACATTCAACACACATGCACTGTAGCTTTTGAAATTCTGTTACATTTTTTTTTTAAACTTAAATCACTAGTCTTGCAAGTTGGACATGAATCGCCTTAGCTTATGGACGGACAAAAGCGACGTTAAAAAAATAAATAGATGTTTTATTGCTTTTTCACCTTGTGCTCAGACAAGTCCTGGAGAGCTTATGACTTTTAAAATGGGGGTCAAAATAAAGATGACAGGTTCTGACACTGTAATGCATTTCAAGGGGAGGTCACGTCATTTTCAAAGTTTTTTTTTTCTTCCCACCACTTAAGCTGCAGCACAATTAAATATAGCAAAAAATAATAAATACTATGCAAAATAAATTAGAACAACTAAGGTGTAGAGATTTGATGCTTGTGGCTCCGACGACTAAAAGCAGATTTTGTGTTTACAAACACATTTTGGAATGCAGACGTCGCAGCCCTCCAAAGAAAAAGGGCAACATTTTTTTTTTTTAAAGGCAAATGGAGCAAATGTCAAGCTGGTATTTGTGACCTTTCACCCCCCTTTTTTTCTGTTTTCTAAGAGGATCCATTTGATTCATCGAAGATTAGACCCATTTGTGCCTCTCTTTTTGATTGTGGCTGGTCACGGGACAACAGACATTCAGGTTTAGGTTGGGGTCAAGCTTAAGGCTGGTTTTTAGGTGGACATGGAGGGTTTGTGGAGCTGTAGGCTGGTGATTGTTCAAGTCAGGGGTGGGGAACCTTTTTTTGTGTCTGGGACCATTTTGATTCCTCGCGCCTGATTCGCCAAAGATTTGCGTGTGGAAAAAAAAAATACAGCAGCAAACTTTATTGCGCAGTACAGTCAGCCTTCGTCAGCGACCAAATGGTTATTTTATTACTTGTGTTTTGAAGCTTCATACCGAATTAGAGAACAACTAATAAATTAATTCAATAATTTGCGATTATATAACTATTTTATATTATTTAGGGCCATTCTCAATCCAATAATCATTTGTAAAAAATACTTGATAGTGACAGCCTTACATAGAATACCAATTATTTATGCGTGTGAGGTGTAGGTATTATTTTTGTCCACCTGGGGTCGCCTTTCCCACATTATATAGCACTGGAGCATCTGTGACTGAATGCGTGTTACATGGTTTACCGCTCAGTTTCAGTTGTAGCACACAGCAGGTTGTGAGAGAGAATATGTGCTTGTGTTTATTTGACCTTTATTCAATAAAGCCATTCGAATTGGACATGTGGAGGAATACAATTTGTTCTCGCTAGCGACCGTATGCTATTTTAAGTTAGCCAACATTGATACTTCACCACGTGTTGGCGATTGTAGATATGCAGTTGTGAAAACTGCAATGGCGGAGCGAATCAGATTGTGTCTCGCCTGCTGTAGGTTCCCCACCCCTGGTTAAAGCCATAAAACAGTAGTGTTGGGGGAAAGGGGGCAGGGGGGAGCACAGTGCGGCAGACCTCAAGCCGAGAAGGCCACTTTGAGGCTGCAGGTGGAGTAGCCCTCGTCGCTGGCCGAGCTCTGCCGGCTACTCTGGTCGTCCAGGTCGCTGGCCCCGCCGCTACTCACGCTGTCCATTTCTCCCAGGGAGAAATCGGTGCACTCCACGTCCACTTCGATCTCCTCTGCAAACACACACAATAAGACAAACGCAAGCATTAAAGGGTGCTGCCGTTGCCCCCGGGTACGTAGCGGTAACTGTAGCCTAACCTCGGTCCGATTCGGAGCGGTCGGAGTCCGTGGGGGAGCCCACGCTATCCATGCGGACGCGATCCCTTTCGCCGAGCGTCTGCAGCTGGGCCAGCTGCCTCTGCAGATACCTCTGCTCCCGCTCCAGGGTGTCCAGCTGGTGCTGACTCTTCCGGTCCACCTCCTCTAGTTTCTTCAAAGGAAAACCCAGGAGGAGAAGGTGTGAGGGGAGCGCATTGGGCCAAGAATGTGCGTGTGTGTGAATCCGAAATCCATCAATACTACACTCTGAACAAATGTACTGTGCTGGACCCGGGGAAAAACAAAACAGCTGAAGCCAATATATCGTGCACAGTTAAATTCAGTGATTCTTTTGCATACCACTAGAGGGTGCCAAATTCGCGGTAGTACTCTAAAATGGCCTTTTTCAGAATAGGCTCTGGTGTGAGTGAATACGATAGCACTGTTCAAGCCATTTCCTGTAGCTGAAATAACGCCGGTTGTGTGTTTTGTTCTCTCCCTGCATGCTGTTTACACCTGCTCCAGTTTCTACACTTAACCACATCAGAACGCCACACAGGAACCGCATTTCGAGGACTTCAAACAGTCAGCTGTTGACTTCAAGAGGTACTTCATACTGTACACGCTTTATCCACCAAAGTAAATATTTTCAACCGCAAATATCCTCATCAAAGTGGACAAACCACGTAATGGCGTCTGCGTTACGTTATGCAGCCATTTGTGTCCGTTATTATTGCCCAAACAAAAGCTTCAAATTTCCACAAAGCAAAAATCAAGACAGGAAAGCGAATACTAAAACATTCGAAGTGCGTGCTGATGATGCATTCACTCTCCATTATACGCAAGAGTGTGCAGCAGGAAGGTCATGGGAAACTCTTACGTGAGCAGCCAGTACAAGCTCATGTAAGCATTTCTCAACTGGGGGAAGTTATAAAGAAATGTCTTTTATCATTGTGGCGGGCCATAAATGTGGTCTAAATGCCGCCATCCACACAGATACGAGCCCATTAGCTTAATGCTAACGTATAACGGGAAATGCCAAAGATGAGCTCACGAATAGCATCTATGTGGCAATGTTATAACGCTTTCCACAAAGGCTATTCGGGCGCAAACGGTGAAGAAAATATGGTATGCAGACAGATAATATAAGAATACTCACATGCATATATTCTTTATCCTCAGCGTAAAACGGCTAAAATTACAGGGGCTCACTGAATTGCTTACAGGAGTTAGAAACACTTTTATCGTTTGTGCCAACATGACCGTGTTATACTCCCCTGGGTGACCAAGTTGCATATTTCTTGGGGGGTTTTTTTGTACAGTGTGTAGCTTTTTTTTCTCCCCCTCATGTTGGATCGCCTGAGATGTGCTCATCTACCTAATATTGTGGCTCAATATTGAACACAATCCAACTCTTAGCGTCGTGACAGTGTAACGCTTCTTAAAAATACAACCACACCTTGATGTGCACTTTGGCCTTGTTGAGGAGTCCCAGCGTGGTGTGCCGACTGCAGTCTGGCCCGAGAGGGATGAGCGACTTCAACCTTTCCAAGCATAGGCGGAGATGCGCTCGTCTGTGGCACGGGGGGAGGGTTGCGCAAACACACAAACAGGAAGCTCATTTTTCCGGTCACGGATGCAGCGTAATATGGTAACCAAAATTATCGACACAACAGCGCACAAAAAAAAACCATACGGTTGCATTAATGCCGAGTCTACACCAGGCAGTGGCAAGCCGTTCATTTCGTCCAATTTCAAGATCTTAAGATTTGTTTTTTTGTCCAATCAGATTGCAGTCAATGTTGCCATGTCAGACTTATCTGCCCCCGTCTTTCGGCTGGTTTATGTAACTTGAACTGTATTCGCAACTGGACTGTTTGTTTAACTAGATTTCAAATGCATCCTCACAGGGCTTGAGTGCCAGCCTTTCATGACATCAGAATGTTCTGCCCTCTGAGTGGTTGGTCAGAGCAAAACTGTTCAAGAAGCAAATTGTATTCACGTATTTAATAATCCACATCTTGTATGATTCTGTATGTATGTGGAAAAGTGGTGTGCTCTTAGGACGTTTTTGTATGGTATTGGTTTCTATAATTCCTGTATGTACAATCAGGTACAAAAATGCATGGTATCAACTGTACAGTGCCTACCGGTAATGAAAAAATGTAGGACTGTATATAGGTCAAGCTGTGATGTAATCGTTCTCAAAGCAACATTTCTCTCCCTCCCGCCCCACACTTGATTTGTTTTGCCAACATTAACTGGCCATTTAATTTTGGACACAAACGCATCCTGACATTTGTCGTCTGCTTACAGCTACGGCCGCCTCGTCCCGCACCGGAGGGAGGAGGCCGTGCTTCAGGAAGGAGTCGTGTTGTCTGGGAACAGATGCTGCACATTTGCTGACTGGGGAAATGTCTGCAAGTCCTCCAGGAACTGTGTCACTCACTAACCGAGGTGGCGTGAACACGTTGCTAAAGGCTACGCCTCTTCAAAGGTGAATTTGAAAGCTGTGGGCAACAATGTCCTTGTTCAGGATGTCACTGCGGTGATACTTACAATTTACGCGACTTGTCAGAATACATGTATTTGTCATATGTAGGAAAAACAACTACATTCATACAGAAAATGTGCTTTAATCTTTCATTACTCACCTATTCTTTTCCAATTCATTGTGGGCTGACCTGCAGTGGGTACAAATATGTAGAACATTAGAAAATCTGAAACTCAAACACTGAGATAAATAATAGAAAAAAAAAGCTAAGAGGATTAATTTTGAAAAAAAGAAACAAAATACATTTTAAAAAAGTCAAATATTGATGCAGTGATACAATACACCATAACTGACAATTCATGACGAGCAATTCTATTATGTCAAAGCAATCCATTTTATAATTTAGAATCTAATAAACAAAATAGATTTACACAGATTTGTGAACAATGAAAGAAGTCTTTGTGTTCAGCTCATGAAAAATCGGGGCAAAAACAAATGTGTTGCATTTATATTTGTGTTCAGTGAAGTTGCCTTTTTTACATTATCGTAATAACCAGTCGTTTCATTTTCATTCAATTTTAGACAGGGTAAGAAAAACATGCCTTCAATAACATGCCACACACAGTCGACGCAACAGATGATTTTTTTCCAAAAAAGCTAATTATTTATCTTTGGTGTATTGAACATGGGCTCTTTAATAATTGTTATATGCTGTTTATTGAACCCACCTGTTGTGAATATTGTCCAGTTTCCTGTTCTTGTTGAATTTACGATGTTTCTGTGGGTGTGCCAGATCATTGGCAGGGTACGTGGAAGCATAACCATGCTCACATTCTGTGTCGTTAAAAAAAAAAGTAAATCAGACTTTACAAGTTCATATATAACTCAGTCTGACACATATCCACCTACATAGTTATCTAACAGCATTAGCATGTGTGCCCTGACCTAAATTCTCAGCAAATTTACAATGTGAGAGGTGATTAAATGTTCCTTCTCGATCTTAACATTCAATATTCGGCCAAATAACAATGGAAAAAAAAAAACATACACATTTTCATCCGCCATTTCCCCCTCTATGTGCCAGAGCGTGAAATCATACAAATCCCAAAATGCAATTTTTTTTCCGGTGCCACGTCAACGTCACGCTTGAACTCACGTCTGATTGGTTAACGGAGGTGGTGAACAAGAGTGCGAGGCCAATCAGGAGGCTCCAATATGTTCCATGTGGAAACCATGTGAATAACACATGCAAGGAAGCTTGGCCCCGAAAGTGACAAGTATTTATAATTCATAATCAGTACTCAACAATACCTTCCTTTAGCAATAGGACATAGTCGTTTTGTGTGTTTGTGTGTTTTTTAAGTAAATAGGTGGAGCAGATACACCACCATGATTAATTCATCAGAAAAGGCCATTGGTGTCGTATTTCACATGTTTAAAAAACCGATGTAAATTGATGATTTAACGTGCGTGTATGCTCGAGGATTAAAACTCGCGCTTTAGCTCTCGTGGCCTGCGTTTTAAAATGGGGGCATATCGTAACAATCACATAAAAAAACGCACCAAATTGGATCAAGAGCCATGCATGATCTCCTAATTTAGCACTGTTTACAGTTGGATTCATTTATGATTAGTGCTATTACTCCCACAAGACGCAGGCACCGCGCGGGGGGGTTATCCATGGCCCAGCGTTGTGTCGTGCGCGTCGCCTCTTTTGTTGTCTGCCCCGGGATCCGACCGAGGCGCGTTCACGGCACGTACATAGCCGCGTCTCCTCGCCGCACGTATATCCCACTTACTTCCGCTGTTCTTATCCACGCTCTCGATGTAGTGCGCGGCGTCCAGCAGCACTTGCACGTTCTTCATGAACGTATCCATGGCGTCCGACGCGTCGCCCAGCGAGCAGTCGGACACGTTTCCCGAATCCCGCGGGTCCGTGAACGCACCGCGCTCCGACACCGGCCCCTGCTTTTTCCGCTCGTCGTCCTGGCGTTGTTGTCCCGCGTACTTGACCATTTCGGTTGAGGTGTTATTTGTCGTGACTGGGGCGAAGAAGCGGCCCCCGGTTCGTCGTCCGCGTGCGCAACGAGCGGATGTCTGAGGCTGGATGCAATTGCAGTCCTTAGCCTCAGCCACTTGCCCTACTTGGTGGATAATCCCTCCCACTGAACGCGTGCACGCCGCATCCATTGTCAACTGGGCCACGGAACACATCCTCATGATCAATGCTGCAGAAGGGAGGGGAGCTGACGGATTGGATTTATCGCAAAACATCATTTGCATTTTATTTCTCCCAAAACACATCAAGCGCTGACCGTCTATTCCATATCCTCGATACCCAACGTAATCCCTATTTACTCTAGCACACTTTTTGCCTTCACCAGTCAGACAGTTCAACACATCAGTAGAACAACTGTTTCCGACTAATAAAGTTTATTCCGCTACTAGAGCCTACTAGTATATCCAGTTCCAGTATATCAAGTTCCATGTACCAGTGCGCTTTGTTCTCACTAGTTAAGGCAATTTAAGACGATACACACCCTGGTTCAAATGCCAGGTTTTTGGGATGTAAAGAAAAATGAGACCAAAATATATCATCTCGAAGCTTTCGCCACCATTGATGTGACCCATAACCTCAGCAACTCAAATTGGAAACATAGTTTCCAAAGGGGGGGGGGGGAACTATTGAGATCATCAGACTGCACAATTGTAACATAAAATAGTTCCAAGTAGCAATCAGTGTCAGCACAAAACCTTAAGTCTTCTGCCCAAAAGAAGAAAAAAAAAAAGCATGCTAGGAAAAGCCTACTAGAACATCTGAAATTCGTTTGGAATTAATCGCACTGCACTTTAAATGGTGACTTCTCTTTCACGTGAGTTTGAATGTGATTGGTTGATTCTGAACACGATCACCTCCAGTTAGGAGAGGGGGTGCATACTTGTGCAACCACATTATTTAATCTGTTTAGTTTCTTCTCGCCTCTCAAAATGATTTAAAATATGTTTTCAATTAAGTTTCTTATTTTGGTCTCGTTTTTATGTTGTGAAAATCTTCCGTTTGAGCAGCGGCGTGTCGACTTTTTATGTCCGCCTTCAGCAACATATTCTCAGATTGCGACCATTTTCTCGCGATAACATGATAAATTATATTGTCATATTACAACATTATTTTCATTATTCTTCTATATACACGACGTTATTGATGTGTTAAATAATTCCGTAGTATTGTGTGTTTCGGCAAGGCAGCGCAGCTTTATTTAGATAGCACAAGACAACTCAATGTGCTTGACACAACACTTACAAGCACATACAAACAAAACCGCAAAAGGCAGTCAACGGCAAAGCAAAGACAAACAAAATTTTAACATGTGCTGACTCACTGACAGCATTCTTCACTTTTGCTTCATTTCCCATGCTGTCACGTGTTCGAGTCATTTTTGGGGGTGTATTCTCCCCCGTGACCCCCGCCCCTTGTGACTTCTCCAGCCAATCAACAATCAAAGCACTTACACGCCACGTCGCGTCGACGTCGAACCCGGGCCGAACGTTTTGCGGCTGATTGCCAAGCAACTCACCTCGAACTCGCCTTCCTCGTGTCTTTGCGAAACACTCGGCTGGTGATTAAGAAGTCATCTTTTTGCCAGCCGTGGAAGGGGGACAGGGAGGTAGTCGTAGGGTGGGGGTAGGAGGGGGTTGTCTCATCTCTGGGGGTCTTTACGAGGCCAGCCATGCGTGGCGGTCCCGGGCGGGCAGACAATAGGTGCAGATGGCCGGCCTGCTGCAGATGTGGCCCGCCCTGTAACGGACGCCTGTGAGAGAGTGACAACCTCTCAGAAGAAGGGGGGGGGGGGGGCTGGGTGCTTGGGAGTGTTGGTCTATATCAGACGCCTGGTCGGGTTCTGCGTGCTGCACACACGCGGCCCATCGCAGCACGGGTGTAGGATGTGTGACCCCAAGTGGAGTAATCTGAAAAGCTGGAGGATTACAAGAGTGCCTCGACTATCACACACCAGGCAAAGTCAAAGTTGCTGTGTGTGTGCGTGTGTGTGTGTGTGTGTGTGTGTGTGTGTGTGAGATTTTGGGAACTTGTCAGGGAGCAGACACTTGTCTCTCATTGAAATGAATGGGGATGCCGTTAATCCATTTCGGTCTCCCACAAAAACAAGAACCAAAATTGTTGTGTTTTGTTAATGAGGAAAAAGTCTGCACACCCCTGTTCGAATGCCTTTTTTTAATTATATGAACAAATAAGACCAAGATAATCTGTTTTTTTAATCATTAATCGGGCCTATGACTTTGTACAACTCATTTTGGGAAAAAAAAAATTGAAACTACTGTACTACGATAGTGTGGTTGTACAATTGCGAAATAAAAAGACGGCCCAATTTGCTACAGGTCCAAACAAACAAATAAAATGAAATAAGAAGCAATGTCAGGAAAATCCTACTAAAAGATCTGAACTTGATTCAAGATTAATCAGACGCGCTTTAAAATCCAGGTAGCTGATTCAAAACATGGGGGTGTGCACACTTATGCAACCACCTTATCTCCGTTTTATATGTATATATATATACTCACTTTCTTATCAAAATATTTCCTTTTTTTAAATTGAGTTATACAGGTTACAGCATAGTCTAAGTTACATATTACCGTCTCACTCTCTCTTTTTTTTTTAATATGACAAAAACCAGGCATGGGAACAGGGCCTTGCAGACTTTTTATATCCACCGTGCACTCATCAAACTATGCACACAACTTGATGTTTCCAGTCCTGCTCTCCAGACGTTATCTTGTTGTTGGGAGACAATGGTTGCACTTTGCCCCGAGGTCACGGCGACGTTTGCACCCCCCACACCCCCCAAGCGTCCAGACGTGCATCACCTGCTCCCTACGCAGCTTTTGTCCTCCACAAGTGTCCCCGACGTTGTTTTTCGAACCCCCAAACTCAAGCAAAAAGCACCTCAGAAGGAAACGTGCGATCCTCAAAAGCATATGTGCTTCCTTTTAATTGCATCGCGGTGTTCGTATCTCTTCCTTATGTCATATTGTGCATAGGCGGCGGGGGACAAGGGGGGGGGGTCTCTATACCTCCCCCCTCTCCCCAAATGGAACACCTGTTGGAGACACCAAATCCCTTCTTTGTCTCCGCAGACCCCTCTCAGTTGGATTACCATGACAACGAGCCATTCATATCATGGCGACGGGGTCGATTATACTGCCTCGCACGGCCAATTATAACTCCACATTTGTTTCAGGGGGCTTCGGAAAGATCAATAAAAATAAACATCAGAGAGGAAAAAAAAGAGTTGTAGAAAGCTTTATTTCTATCTCGAGGCGTTGACGCAGTTATTCGCATGAAATATGCTTGGAAAAAGTTATACAATGGAAAAACGTAAGGAGACAAACACTGCCCGCTCAGAACGTGTCAATTAAAAAAACAATAATTATCATAAATTCGAGAAAGCAATTTTTCACTTTTTGTAAGAATGATATGTTGAATTTTAGGAGTGCTTAATTGTTATATTATGAGGAGAAAAATGCACTTTATATCAAAATCCTATGACAAAAATGTGTAATGTTGACATGCAAAATATTGGATTTTATGACATCTTGTATTTATTCCCCTAGAATATACAGTACATGAACATTTAAAGCAATTAAAAAAAAAACATCCACATTTTATGACAATCGAGTTCAACGACGACAAGATTTGAGCTTTCCTGCATCCGCACTCAAAAAAGTGACAAAAGCTGCAGCCCGTCTTTCTCAAAAGCTTTATTTCATACCGCATGTGTTTGCATTTTTTACCAACACCAAATACATTTCAAAAAGTGGTATGACCGTGTCCAAATATACGCACACAAACAAATAACAGTGCCTGCTCAGAACATGTCAATCATCATAAAAAAACAAAACAAAACAAAGAATAAAAAGAGTTGTTAAAAACGACGTACTGTATTAGGATTGTACTGTCACATTTGGAAACTTTTCATAGTTTTAGTGTAACAAAAACGTATTTACAAAACCAACTCGCTCCCTTTGGGTTGACACATTCACATTGTACTGCAAACAACAACAAAAGCCTCGTTGCTTTGTTACACTTCGTCAGAACAATAAAGCAGCATATATGACAATTATTACTTCATAGAGCTCCTCACAGTTTTTTTTTTTTTTTAGTACAAGAGTTAGTAGGTAAATATTCATTTGAACGACAGCACACAATTATGTAATACAGTGAGAATAGAAAGGGGGGGCTGGGGAACCCGAAAAACTGCATTTATGACATCTATGACACACTCGAGCAAATGTTTGTTGTGTTATAAATATTTTTACTTCATCATCAGGAAATTAAGATATTTCTTTTTATATATATATATATATCTATATATATATATAGATATATATATATGATGTTACTGCATGTTTCAGCCCTCCATGTCATAAAAAATTATTCTGCCAAAAAAAAAAATAGTGGAGAATCAAGAAATATTATTCTTATTAGAAAGTTTTAAAAGTTGAATGTTAATTTGGCTAGACTAAAAATATTTTTAAGAATAAAATACAGACTGAAGTCATCATATTAAAATGGGAAAACAATTTCATTTGATCAGTGTACTTTTAATTTCACAAGAAAAATAGACTAATTTTGAAACTAAAGTAAAAAAAAAGTGGTAATTTTCAGACAACTGTTGAAATAACACACGTGAATTTCTTTTTCGTTTTTTTTTGATTGGGTGAAAATAAGTGAAAAAGTGTTTTCAATTTCTGACAATAAAATCTCAACATTAAAAGACAACTGTTTGAGAACTAAATTAAAAAAAAAAAATTTGTAACTTCACCAAAATCAAATTGTCATATTATTGGTATAAGATTCATGAAATTTAGTACTAAACCGAAATATTCCGAGACCAACTATCTTCATTTTCTGAGTAAAACGATATGAATAAAAAAATGAGCTCTCAATCGATCAAATAGATTTTTGTGTGTTTTACCATAATTCCCTGGCAATCTTTTTTTTTTTTTTTTTTTGGAGGCACGATTGTCCCATCAAGCGAAGGTCCCCCAACCCCGTGACAGAGCAACACGAGATTATAATCGCTTACGTCTTTTAAGATCGTACTTGTTTTGAAGGCCGCAGACTGTATATTAGCGGCAATTATTACGCCGCGGCTGCGCCCGTTTCCATACATTCATACGAGGGATTTGTGCAAAAAGGGAAGAATCCTCAGAACTTCACAAGTTTGTCTCTCCAACGCCAATTCATAAAAACGCACAAGCATTCAAATCTTGGCTTGTCTCCGTCCCCTCATTCGCATTCCGAAATTATTGTTTTTGGCGTTAAGTCGACGCCTGACATTTCTCCTTCTTTTTGCTCTTCTTCAGGAAGGAAGGCGTGCGGAACTTGTTCTTCTTCTTCTTCGTCTTGCTCTGGCACTCCGGGGTCTCGTTTTGAGCGCCCGTGGAGATGTCCAGCGATTCCGAAGCGCTCGCGCTCAACTTGGAAACCTCCAGGCTCAAGTCCTCATCCGGATCGGACAGGTGGTCTTTCCCGTTGGGTATCGAGTCTGTCGGTGAGTGCAGCACAATCAGAAAATAAAAGTAAAAATACATAATGTCACGAGATCAAAAACCCAACCGATATCCGAAATAATAACAATTGTCCAGAGTTTTGCCGATTATACGCCGATATAATCTTGCGTTCATATACATTCATGGCGACACTGGAAAACGCCTTTGGGTGGTTGTTGGCCTACCTAGCTTGGTTGGTGTCATGATGGGAGAGAGCGAGAGTGAGATTGTGGACCCATCGAACGTGGTCATCTCGTCCGCATCCGTTGCGTCTTCGTCTTCTGCAAACAGCACATTAATTCTTACATTTTTATCACCTTCTAATATGCTCACAATCCAGCCGTCACAACGTTCAGTAGATTTTTAAATAATGCTACTGGTCTACAGATCGCAGAATGGCTTCGGTCCTGAATAGATTTTTTTAAAGAAATGCTAGCAGACTAAGGTCAGTTCGTGGAGTTCAGAGTTCAAAGCAAACATGGTGAAGCAGCATTTAGCTGTTACGCTGCACACAAAAGGAATACGATGCCAACAGAAGTTAGCTCAACGTGTAAATTCTTTTCAGTCCAGTTTTAAAACTATGCTTTCAGAACATTTCTATAATCGCCCCCCCCCCAACCCCCCCCAAATCATGCACTTGTTCTGTACATTTTTGAAGTAGTTTTAGGAAGCTACTTTTACTTTCTCTGCTTTGCTTTTTAATGTCTTCCATTTGTTTACCTTTAAATGTTGTCTTTGGCCTATTGTTTGGATGTGAAGCACATTGAGTTAGCTTCTATGAAATGTGCTACATCAATAAAGCCGCTTTGCCTCGCCTATACTTAATCGTTGTAGATCCCAACTACAGCTTGCCTGTCATTTTATTTTCAGTGTCCTGCGGCATTGGGGGGTGGGATTAATTTTAGCAACCCCCTACTAAGATTTTGAATTGCATATAAATGCTACAAGATGGAAGAAAAGCACATGAAGAAAGTTCGGATTCCCCTGTTGTTTTTGAGACCAATTCAATCCTTTCTTGTGCGCACTCACACTTTGAAGTGGAAAAAACACAGCAGGTGGACATTTTTTTTTTTAAATAAGTACCGTCTTGGCCGAGTCGCTTCCGCTCCACCAGGCTCTTATACTCCTCGAGCACCTCCTCTGTCAGATGGTTGAAAGGATTGGGCGGAAGCGAGCGAGTGTGTTCCTCATCCTCCATGATGAAAGCCTGCACAAGAACGGGAGAGTGTCGGATTGCGCGAGGAGGAAACGTCACAAAACAACCAAAGAAAAAATGTGCACTCACTGGTCCTGGGATAGTGTCCACAACGATGCCCGCCAGTAAATGGGACTTGGGACCCGACGTCATCTGGTCGCCTCTGTGCTGCTCTTTTATCTGAATTAAAAGAGTGACAGTGGCGGTGTGACTTCGTGTTTAATGTCTATAACATCAAATCCGTTTTCCCCATTGAAATGAATGGAAATGCCACAAATGCGTTCCAACCTTACCAGTTTTTGTTACGTTTTTAATCAATAACAACGGCAATGTATTGTAGAAATGTAGTAAAGAATAATGAAAGAGAATGTATAGAAATAAACCATTCTTATAAAACGCAATTACTGTTCTGTGCATATTTAGGGGCGTGGCCTAGCGATTGACATCCAGAGCTAGAGTTGGCTTGGCATTGTGAGCATCTGGACCGACCGAGTTGTGGCCGACAGCAGCTCCTGGTGAGTGTTCTTATTTTGTATTTCTTTAGCCTAACAGCATGAACCGCCTGAGTCATTTTAGCTTGCTGTCACAACATAAAAAAAAAAAATTGCAATGGGATTGCTTCTTCATGTCTGTTTGAAATTAAGTCAAGTAGATTCTTGTTTGCCGAATGTTTGTTTCTGTTTTCAAAAATTGCTAAGCAACGACTTGGGCAACGCTGCACAATGACTCACCCGGTTCCTCTTGTGCAGCACTTCTGTGGGATCAGTGTTGAGGGGCACAAATTGGTTGGGATCTTCAATCTTAATGGGGGTGCCGATGCTTTTGCCCGGTTCGGATGACTTCATCCACTGAGAAACAAACAAATCATTTGAAAGCTGCACAACGGTAATTGGTGTTTGCTCCATTTTAAATACAAGACATTTTTGCCTCTCCTTTAGCCGAACTGTGTCGCTGTTGGAGTAATCGATTTAATTAGACGACACACACTGAGAGGTGTTTGGGGGGGGGGAAAAAAAAAAAAAAACAACCCACAAACAAAAACAGATCAAGAAGCGTTATTCCACCCCACCCTCCTATATTTTGTGCTTTGCACATCTGTCTCACAGCTGCGAAAGTTCTGTGTTCGAATCTTGGCACTGGGCTTTCTGTGTGGAGTTTGCATGTTCTCCACTTCCCTCCCACAACGAGAGCATACTTGTTTGGTTCGTGAAAAATTCCAAATTGTCTGACTGTCAGTTTGAAAGCTCGATTGGCTGAAGGCGCCCTGAGATTTTTCTGCCAACCGGTCAGTCCTGTGTGTACAGCTCGCCCTAATGAGAAGACAATACAGAATTTCCACAGTTGTCCACAAGATGGCAGGCTAATCCACAAGACCTCGTCCGTCCATTTTCTGTCGTGCTTCTTTCTCACTGTGTGAGGGTCGCTGGAATCTCTTTCAGCGGACTTTTGGGTGAGGGGCAAACGTACACAATGAACTGGCTGGCAGCCAAATGACACAGCTCATTCACACCTTTTGTCCGATTCACCCGCCTTTGTTTCCTCTCGTCTAGGTTATTGGCATTCTCAATGGTCTGGCCGCTCCACTTGAAGTCATTTTATTGTCCTGTTCCGTCAAGGCGGTCTGCCGACTTGCCTTTTACTTCACGTCCCTCACACGAGATTGAAAAAGTTGAAGGTGAGAGAGCCCGGCAGTCTGTTGCCCTCAAATTGTGAACATTTTTCAAAAGGCACTGACAAAACATAATTTGTTTAGGCAAGCATTCCAGTCAGACCCCCCACCCCCCACCCAGGAATTTTCAAAGTTGACAATATCCCGTGGGGGATATTACAGGAATGATGGGATTCATCGGAATGGATGTGAATGAACCAGAATTCTGCAAAATAAGAGGGAATTTAAATGTAGTTGACAGAAATCTACCTCAGCCAAATCCTGACTGAAATAACCAAAGTTCATTCAAGGACAGTTGAATGTGAAGAAAGGGTTGAACAAAAATGCAACCCGAAGAAGCTCGAGGGAAGATGCTTCTTTTAGTAACTACGTTGAATCAAGCCTTTTGGAGGCAGAGAGGCTCTTTTCTTTAGCATTCTGAATGGGCCTTTGTTGGAATTTTTGCATGGTGGGGGATAATTTTTGTTCCTTTTTTTAATTGAATGGCTTGGAACTGGGGAAAGAGTAATACTTTATTCAACATTTATGTTTCACCCGAGTAAGACTCAAATCAAATCAAATGCAGCATGCTTACTTCTGGACCGCACACTCGACTTCAACCTGCAATCTCCCCGCAGGAATGCCTGAGCCAAGACTCAAACCCAGAACCTCTCGACTTGGAGGCAGAGGCGCTACCCGCTGCTTCATCGTGCCCAACATCCCTCATCAAAAGGTATGCATGTAGACTCCACCCACCATCGTTTTGGTTCTGGGGCTGACGTCTCCGCTGGGCGAGCGTTCGGGCACGTTCACCCTCAAGTAGCTGTTGGGCGATGTCAGCCAGCGCGTCCGCTCCCGCTGCTGCCTCTGCGCCATAAACTTGAAGGGGCTACGCAGGCCCGCCGCCTCGCCGTCGTCGTCCGATGGGATCGCGGACACCGTGGCGGGGATTTCCACGTCGTTCTTGGATCGGGGCTTTTCTCGGACGATGGGGTTTCTGTACGAGTGGCCTGTTCTGTATCCCTGCGGAGAAACCAAAGTTGAACGTCGGGCCGGTTATTCCCTCAAGGGCCTTTCACAAATAAACGGAGTAGAAGTCATTACAAGGATGCTCGTCAAACTGTCGTCACGTTTCGGAATATTAAAACACCACATATACCCCCTGGTGTCAAACTCAAGGCCTGGGGGCCAGATCCGGCCCGCCAGGTCATTTTATGTGGCCCGCAAAAGCAAATCATGTGTGTCAACTTGTCCCGAAATGTCAAATTGTAATGTGTAATAAATATTGTTGAGATTTTGCAATAATAACTGAACAAATTATTATAATTGACTTGAAAAATAGTAATCTATTAATTTGTGTACATTTAATCATTTTGTGGTTTCACTGTCATAACGGCCCTCCGAGGGAAGACGTAACTCCGAATTTTCCTGCGACTAAAATGAGTTTGACACCCCTGAGATATGCGGTCAAATATAAAAGGATTTTTCCTGACATTTCTAATGTACCAGGAAACATGTGTGGTAGAAAATATTGAAAATATGTCTTGTGTAGATTGAATGAAATCAGACAGGGTGTCTACACTGTGCTAAGCGCTTTCTTTTTCAACTACCTTTTACCTAGAAATACTGCCGCATCATTCTTAAAATATTCTCTGCTCCTTCCTTATGTCCTTTGTACACTGTAAGGGACGTCTGGCCATTTGAACTACAGCTGAAAATGAAAATATGAAGTCGGTTTCCTACTTTGGATGTTAACAGTTGAGATTTTGGAGGCGGTGTGTCATCTCCACAGCTGCAGTGATAAATCATCTTCATGCGACAGGACGTAACGCTATCCTCTAACCACCTGAGCCGTTGGCTATGCCGAAGGCATCGATAAGTCTCTTGAGCAGTCACTAAATCCCATGCAGCAACAGGGCACGCTAAATCTAGTCCCTTAAGCGACTGCGAGGTCGCTTAGTTGGGCTGCTTCCACCCGTTGTTAGCTTTGTCATCTGGTGCCTATGCCTGCAAAGGTGGGCGGACGGCTCCCTGCAGCTGCAGCCCACTCAACTGCCTCGGCTGTCCATCAGTAGCGCACGAGTACAGATGGAACCGACCATTAGGTGGGAGTAAATACGCCCGCCGAAAAGATTCACTCACGAGGTTGTCCAGCATCCTCATCAGGGACTCGAATTCGGCCTCTCCCACTTTCCACTTGAAGTCGTTGCTCACGGGCACCCCGGCAGAGGCCACTCCCTGCGTAAGAGGTTTGAATTTCTCTTTGTCCAGGAGCAGCAGGTTGTCCACGCCGCCCGAGCACGCCAACGCCTGCACCTAAAAGCGAGTCGGACCACAATGAACTGGTGACATGTCACAGAAGACATCGATTTGATGAGAGTGGAGGCCACATTTTGAGTAAAAACAGTCGCAAGGTAGGTCCAAGCGAGCATACATCAAAACAATTCTGTCACTGTCCAAATACTGGCGTCCCTCACTGTGCTGTCATGACGTCATTCAATGTACCTGAATTTCACACGCTTGCTGTGAGTGGTACATGTAGTGGAAGGCTTCATCTACGGTTTCTCCCAAAGCAAGCAACCCGTGGTTCCTTAGCATCATCACCTGGAAAATACAACAGAAATTATTTCAACCCAAATGCAGACTGGATGTTGAGTTTGTAATATGAGGACTTTTTCATTTTTAACTCCACAAGTTTAAGTCGAAAAGGTGAAGTCAACCCCCAAATTTTCTTGACAATAGTATAAGAAAAACCTTTATTTGTCACAATGGAGAAATTCCCAATTTACAGCAGCAAAATTATGAAAGGGAGAAGTAGAAGAACAAGACGCATATAAATAAATATAAATTATAAAATATAAATAGAAGCATACAGTATTAAAAATGGGTGAGTGCGAGTGAGTCCAGTTCTATGCAACTCCACTAGTTGAAACACGGCATTTTCTTGGGGCTCAGGTAACGAACAATCACCGCTCACCTTTTTTCCGAATCTGAGCCACGGTTGGTTGTTTTATATATATTTTAATATGATGAAAATAACTCAAAGTATGACAAAAATAAAATATTTTTATGAGATACAGCTCGTAATGTTCCGAGATTAGGTAATAAAAGACCTGTATCGCAAATACTCACTTCCTGTGGCATTTTTATTATTGCAGGTGGCAGTAGTGTAGAAATTGAACTGACTGAAAGAAAAATAAGGTAGCCAAAAGGCAGAATTCTCGATAGAGCTCTTTGTAATGGATCTCATTAGATGGCGCAGGTGTACCTGGTGTGACTGGAGAGGTAAAGCAGCTGTCGAAAGCTGTGGAAAAAAAGCCCCTTTCACTAATGGAGTCTCTCAACTTGACAGTACCTTGGCAGTGGGTCCCAGAGCCTTCTGAAACTCCACCTTCTCTTCTTGATTATCCAGGCTGCCATGGTAACCGAAGCAGCTCACGTCTCCGAGGAGCAAGGCCTCCTGGGAAATTGGCAGGATTCCGCACTTCATGGAGGACACCTGTTAGCATAAACAACACGGCTTCAGCGCCACCGCGTCGAAACAGAGACACGTTTGTGCTGTCACATAAAAAGCCTTGCCGGTCACGTCCGTCGCATGCTGTGAATTTTACGGCCTGGCTTTAAAGTTTATGGCAAAAAAACGACATTAAAGAGCATCACGGCGAGCCCCTAAGCGGTAGCTGAGCCCCGCGGGCGACTCACGGCAGCCGTAGCGGGCGTGTGTACGTGGACGATGCATTTCAAGTCGGGCCGCATGGCGTAGATGGCGGCATGAGGGGCGAATCCAAAGTGGTCGATGCCCAAGTCGGTTGTGCCTTGGTCCACTACGTCGCCGATCATGTTCACTTTCACCTGAAACAAAACCTCAGCGTCAAACAAAACGGCATGTATTTTGGCTTCCGAAATGCCTTTACACAGTGAACAATGGTAAAAGCATAAAATGGAGGGAAAACACGACAAATATAGTGTCTATCTTGCATGTGCCTTTAAGAGGCGGGGCCTGGTGTGCTCGCACATGACATCGGCGAGTCTGCGGTTGAACGTCTGAGCGCTGTGGCCGACAGGCGCTTTTGCGCGAGCACGCATGTTGGGTTTTCGTGATCTAAATGAGCGGCTGAAAAGTACATTGGCGACTGTAGTTCTCCTTTCCCACATTGCGAGGGCATTTCAGTCAATAGTTATACTGTAAAAACTCAATTGCTTAAAAATCCCTATTACTGCGGCACTTAACCATGAATGTAGTGGGGTATACAAATGCCTGCCCATCCGTCGAGTGTGCAACTACATCCAAGTAAAACTTTTCTTGTTGCTGCTCTGTACTTCTACCCCAACAAAGTCGCAAAAGAGTAGCCGCTCGCTTTGTCAAATGCCCGGTCGTCGTGGCAACAAAAGGCGTACTCTGAATTTGCCAGACGTGAATCAGAGTGAGACATGAGGATATTAGGTGTGCTGTAATTCTTACTACTTACAATTTCGATTCACTTACCAAAGTGGCAGCGGTGACCTCGGCAAAAGACAGACCTCTTGGGCTGATCAGGACATGGTCCTGCTCCTTGTTGACACGCACCTTAGATGAAAAGAATCACGGCTTCAATTAAAAAAACGCTAGCTAACCTCATTCGGGTTTCGATCATGCGGCAGAGTTTTTGAAATCCAGAAAGCATTCATTATTTCTTCGACTTTAGCAGTCCTTAATGTGCTCAAAAATGGTAGCGAGCGACGGTGGTATATTTCTTATATATAGCGTGGTAAAATATGTATCATGTTGCCGTCTGAAGGTCAAGTAATTAATGTTTGAAGGCGAGGAGATGTGCAAAACTTCACAGTTGCCTTTGAAAAGAGAGATTTACATCTCCGGTGCTGCATCGCAAGTCGCGTGTTCATCAAAGAATTTCTAATTCAGTTAGATACGTCGATATTCTATAAATTCCGAGGGAGAAAAACGTTTTAAAACATGAAGGGCACGATGTCTGTGGCGCCAAATTCATCCATCTGTCGATAGCGTTGTGCTTTTTTTTTTCCCTTGAAAAATAAATGGCAATAGGATCTGTCATTGCTCTCTGATATATGAGATTATTTTATGAGCGAAAGCATATTTTTTTAAAATTCACTTAAGTTCCTAAAAGAGGACATACTATGGGATGCACTTGACTTTTTAATGACTTGTAACAAACGGTTGCATCTCTGTGAGTGCCTGCCCTCGCCCATCAAGTGTGAAATTAAACAACCGAGTACATTTTTATGTTAGCCAGCTGTCCTGCGTTTTCCGAAAATACAACTCGACAAATTTTCTTTTCTTTTCATGGCCAGACTAAGCAGATCTGCAGTGCTCGGCGCAGGGTAACATTAGCGAACAGTATTTGGTTCAATTGTCAACACTGAGTCAGGGGACATTTGTGTTCGGCGGTGTGTCCACTGCATGCGCAATATACACAGATCGGCGACACTAATTGGCACTGCAGTGGCGCGTCCACAAATGAAGATGTCTATCATTCTGTTTTTTTTTTCCCCCCCTGGTCTCTTTCTATACGCCTTCTCCTCAAGATTCTGCGCAATTTTGCTACAGGAAGCCGCTCCCCAAGCTTCAACATTCTCGCCCCGTCGCTGGTCGCCATAGTAACGAAAGCTCAGAACTGCCCCCTCAAAAAGCGTAACTTCAGGTGGAGCACAGAAGTGGAATTTAAGTGTCCTGTTTTTATTTTTTTTTTGTCCGCTTTGACTGAAGAACGTCAGATACCTTTTTTTAAGCCACACGAGAACTTAAAAAAAAAAAAATCCAACACTAAAATGTTTCATATGCCTCATAAGCAGGCCGGCCGTTTGTTTTTCCTTTCCCCCTCTTTTACGTAGATAATGTGACAATACCCATCACATGTGATACAATTGTTATCAATAGCAAAGGATCATCAACAGGAAATGGCCTGAGACAGAACCGCACCCCACAATAGTAAATCAACTAGTGGAGCATGAATTGAATGTTCTGAATGTGTGGAGGGGGAAAAAAAAACCCCACAGATACACATGCACACAAAAGAACGTCGCATCTCCCTTTAAGCCTTCATGGTGGTGCCGGAGAACATCTCATGAAGACGGAGAGACGTGCAGGGGATGTCAACACTCACGGTGATGTAGGAACTGGTGAAACGAGCCCAGCCGAAAAGGTCAACGAGCCTATAGAGGCTGGCCAGCTTGCAGCGGCTCGGTTTCTCGCCTTTGGCAAAGGATGGCGACTCGGCGGCGTACAAGTCATTGATGGGGGACACCATTCCCAAGCCTGCAACGGGACGGCACATCATCCGGTAAGGAGTTTGCATTTAACTACACTTGCAGACATAACAAGGATGTTTACAGGCTTTGCCTTCACCGCTGATCAAGTTAAAGGCTCCCTCGGGGAGCATGTGAACCTTAAAAAAGGCTTTCCAAAAATTCCCAGTGAGGATATTTTGGACCGCGCGGCCATATAAGGCTATTTAACGATGCCATCTCTTACAGGCACTTAAGCTTTTTAAAAGGGCAAAGCCTGCTTTGACTTCACAGGCATTTTCCTAACATTAAGGCGTTTAACGTAAAGACAAACAAGGTGATCTCAGCTGGAAGAAGCTGACATTAAAACATGAGGCCCAGAGGCAAAAAAAAAAAAGGAACTAGAAAACTTTACTAGAATAAAGTGTTCTTCACAAAGTAGGAAGAAGATATGTTTTTTAGTACTGTCGCTCCATAGTTTTGATTACTAGCATTAAGCTCGCGAGTTAACTACCGACAAAAAAGAATTTGTGTATTTGAATACACAGGGTTGTGCAATTCTTTTTGAGATGTGCTTAGTTTTACAGTAAATAGGTTCCCTTTTTTTTAAAAGGCTATACAGTGGTACCTCTACTTGCGAAATTAATTGGTTCTGGAAGAGATTTCGTAACGAGAAAACTTTGTAAGGTGTAGACGTGTTTTCCATGTTAATGCCCTAATCCGTTCCAAGGCCCCTTAAAATTCAGACACAAATGTTTTCTAAAGCATAAAAATGCATCAAAATATGGAACAAATACACGTTACAATTAGATTATTGCACAATAAACGAGAGTTGTGCACAATGTAAAAAACAAAGAATAAAGAATAAAAATGATTTCATGTTCTCTCTCAGAAGTGTTTTTTGCCTGGCATTTTGTAAAGAACTGATCCAAGGACGTTTACTTTTGTCGGCTTTTAACAATCCTTCGAAAGTGTCCAAGGCAAACATCAGCATAGTGAGTGATCGCCCGACTGGTGAACACTTTTTCTGGGTGCCCATACAGTATTTTTACCTTTCGTATCTTGAAATTTCTTTCGTAACAAGTGGCAATATTTTCCTGTTGAGGCGTTTCGTAAATTGAAAATTCCGTATGAAGAGACGTTCGTAAGTAGAGGTACTGTACCACTGCATCTGTGTGGCCCAGTACCAAGGTCGTCGGGGACCATTGCTTTAAGACACGCTTAAACAACTCCAGAAAATGGATGTCTTATCATTCCTTATCGCTAGTTGGTATAGATGCTGACATTCGGACTTCTTCCACAATAAAAGTCACATAAACAATTGCCTGCAATTGCTGCCCCCAGAAACTCTGCTAATATAATTAGCATTCCAAACTACTGCGATTCACTTGCTCGAGCGGTCATGTGGGTTTGCTTCATGGAAACACTGACAATGCCCTCCACAACTTTTCTGCTGTTTCACGCTGACAAGAACGAGCAGATTCATTTGGAGCGCACAAGCACTCACTGATCGGTGACGTCAAGGGCCCGGCCCCTCCCACCGTGCTGGCCATGACCAGGTCGGCTATCTGCCTCAGGGCCAGGAGACCTGTTGGGTTGTTGCCCTTGGTCATCTGGTCCTGAATCAGGCCTTCCAGCTCATCTTTGAACACCTGCAAAACCAAATCAGAGTCATTATGCTGTGTTGGAGCTCTGTAATCCCTGTGGCTCATTTATACGCTCTTCTTATTACAAGTCACAAATCTCGAAAAAGCTCTTTGTGCAAGCGCCGCATGGGCCGACGGTGGTGCCGTTTGTTATTTTAGCCCGGCTTTTTTACTTTCTCCCCCATGCAGGGGGGCCTGCGAATCTCCGAGCCGCGATGTGTTTGTCAGCCCAGCGCCAGCATTCTGCTTCATTCGAGCGCCGTAACCATGGCGATGAGATAAGTTCTACTTGTTAGGGCCTGTTACGCAATCGTTGAGGAGTGTGGGCTCGATTTATTTGTATGCACTCAGCTGGCATGTGTTCACTGTGCCTCTTTGAACCGAGCTGCCGAGCTTCCTTTCCGGTCCCTTTTCCATCTTATAGCCCAATGCGACGTTCAACAAAGTTGAATTGATTCATGGGATCGATTTTAAATGCACAGTTTAAATTACAATCCATATCCATACCACTCATTTTTCATAAGGCTCTAAATGTGCAATATCATGCATATGAACAATTTCATCCGGGGCGAGACTACTGAGACAATCTCTGTATTCGGCAATGGACCCGACAGCTTCTTGTTTACTTTCAAACTTGTGATCATGGCCTCTCTCCAGAATTAATGTGACGTATAACCTGCACAACACAAGTGAACTGTAAACAACTGAAATAATGTGGTTGCACAAATGTGCACCCGCTGATAATAGTCAAGAATCGCCCATCATTTCAAGTGCCTCTGATTAACCTTAAATAAAGTTCAGATGTTCTAGTAGGCTTTTCCTGTGCACCCTCTGATAATAATTGGGGAAGTGGCTGTGTTCAACATTCACCATTCAGATTCAAATTTACGTTAAACGGGAATCGGCCATCATTTCAAGTGCCTCTGATTAACCTCAAATAAAGTTCAGATGTTCTAGTAGGCTTTTCCTGACGTGTTTTTTGCTTTCTAGCTGAGGCCTGACACTCAACAATTTCATCTATATATGCTCTGTAATTGACATTTGCCCAAAGTCAGTCAAGATAAGCTCCAGCTCCCTTGAGCAGGATAAACGGAATAAAAAATTGTATTTGTATATTGAATCCATTCAGAATAAGTGCAGGTGTACCTAATGTTGTGACCAGTAGGTGAAACGGGTTTCACACTCTCTTTACGGACTACATACTGGACTCTGCAGGATGTGGGTGACCCTCTTCTTCTGCTCCATCATGTTGAAGTCCTGCCTCAAGTCTGGAGACATGGCTCGGCTGCGGAGGTTGTCCGGGTCGGTCTCGCAATAGCGTTCCTTGGAGTCATTGCTGGACAGGGACAGGGTCAGTGAGCCTGCCAACTGCCTCACCTCCACCAGACTCATCCTCCAGCAGAGCCTCTTCTATCACCGCCCGCCTCCTACGCTTCCTCTTGAATCTGACAATGGTACCCAAAAAAAAAACACAATCAAGGGAGCTTTTTCACAGTCAGGCTGTCTAGGCAACAGGCGCAATGATGACTCATGTAACAACTGGGATTTAAACCAGTAATTTCCAACTGCATTAGTGTTCAGTGAGAGATCATCAGGTGTGCTGCAGGAAATGAAACAGTTTCACTTAATCTGTAAAAATAATAAATAAATAAAAATTATCTATGGCTATCTATCTTGGCTACGGTCACATGCAAACTTCACACCGGAAGCCCAGATTCTAAACCCCAACCTTAGAACTGTGAGGCAGATGTGCTAACCACTCTCTCACCATATTATTTATTCACTTCAAATAAGATATATTTGTTCAACTACCTATGCCAGCGATTTACCCTGACAGGCAGAACAACTGAATGTTGTTCCCTAGAAAGCAGAAGGTCCAGTAAATCATTTGATGTGTTTTTGTTTGGTAGTGCACCTTGTGTTTGCCTTACTTTTGATAAAAGTTGGGAAACAAGAGTACCACAAAATGGAAGTCATCATCATACTGTCCCTTGGATTTCTCAACACTCTACATCACCCCCCTCCCCGCCTCCTTTTTTTTTTTTTTACAAATAGGGTGGGAGGGAAAGCGCCTTGCATTCTTAAGCCAAGAGTAGTTAACAGTAAACAAAAAGAGCTTTTTGCCCCCTCATTTTTGTAAATGAGCCACTTTGAATAGCAGTTAGCACCTTTGGGGCTACCTGGATGTGGGGGGTGGAGGGATACACAAAAATACAGACAGTACATCACAACCGCGACTATTTCTATCATTAAGTAGTTCCCAAAGACAAATAAAATCCCCCTGCGTAGCTTTAGCGACGTTTTGTGTTCGAATAAAACCAACTCTCACCATATTATTTATTCACTTCAAATAAGATATATTTGTTCAACTATCTACGCCAGCAATTTACCCTGACAGGCAGAACAACTGAATGTTATTCCCTAGAAAGCAGAAGGTACAGTATATCATTTGATGTGTTTTTGTTTGGTAGTGCACCTTGTGTTTGCCTTACTTTTGATAAAAGTTGGGAAACAAGAGTACCACAAAATGGAAGTCATCATCATACTGTCCCTTGGATTTCTCAACACTCTACATCACCCCCCTCCCCGCCTCCTTTTTTTTTTTTTTACAAATAGGGTGGGAGGGAAAGCGCCTTGCATTCTTAAGCCAAGAGTAGTTAACAGTAAACAAAAAGAGCTTTTTTCCCCCTCATTTTTGTAAATGAGCCACTTTGAATAGCAGTTAGCACCTTTGGGGCTACCTGGATGTGGGGGGTGGAGGGATACACAAAAATACAGACAGTACATCACAACCGCGACTATTTCTATCATTAAGTAGTTCCCAAAGACAAATAAAATCCCCCTGCGTAGCTTTAGCGACATTTTGTGTTCGAATAAAACCAAACTCGATCATCATCAGTAGAATCACTATGAAGTCATCGTGAAAAGCAAACAGCTAACCCACTGCGAGAACACTTTCCCCAAAAGTTACCTCAAGAGTTCTCCGGACGGCGTGGAGTCTATTCTCGCCCCCACACACACAAAAAGAGAAAATGCGCTCCAAAAAGGTTGATTAAAGTAAGACAGGTAGATTTTAGTCCGATTGTGGATACATTGCGCACACTATCCAGAAGCAGCAGAGTGGCGACCGCGCGTAGCGGAGAGACGGAGGGAGGTCGGCGGGGAGGGTGGCTGAGGATGTGGGTGAGTGGGTGGGTGTGAGTGGTGAAAAAAAAAAGAAAAAAGGAAAAAAAAGGAAAAGTGACCACGTGACCTGACTTCATCCACCCACGAGGCCTCCTCGGAAACTACGAACAAATGGCGGCCACAACACTTCCATACGACTGCGGTACAAGTCCCAACCCCAGTCCAGAAGCGAGGTACTAAATAGTCCCTTCTCCCAGTTCTGGTTGTTTCGTAGAAAGGGTTCTGTCAGTCGTCATCTGTACCTGTGGGTAAAAAACAAAAAACAAAAAAGGACGTTTCGCTTCTCTCACAGAAGCTTCGTCAGCGGTAGACAACCCTGAAGTACAGATTTTGATTCATATTTACAGTATTGGAATACGTTGATGTATGTTGCTGCTGTATACTGCTTGAACCCAGTGAACAAACTTGGTGTCCGCTTAATGTTCATTATCTTTGGCATACCGCAGAGAAAGGACAGGGAGAGTTGGTAGATAATTTGTGTGACTTTATTAACAGAAATATTTCAATTGATGTTAATTTGTCTTGAAATAAAGTTGTTGTTTTTTTTTTCTACCACAGCTCCATTTTGGATCTGGTGGGGCACTGTTGCCAACATGTCAGCGTGAAAAGCACGTCAATGCAAAACAGCGGCTGGTAAAGTTGCATTCATCTTTGACTTCGTTCTCTGCAGCAAAGGTTTGGAATAATGGCAAGGTATTTCATTGATTTGGATGTCCATTGCCGCAGTTGCTTTGAAAAAGTGTTTTCGAAGCTAGAAAACACGGCCCTGTGTACCTTAATGTTTTCACTAGCTGACACAAACTCAAAATAATGACCCGATTTCTACCTTGCGAATGCAAATATTTCTCCTTTTGGTGTTCATTTTCATGTGTCGGATGGGAATTCTAATTTGTGAAGTCCCAGAATGCTTCACTGAAAGCTTTTAACACAGTCATTCCCCTATCATGTGTATTCTATAATGTCGAGTTGTTTGCTGTGTGTCGTTATCTTGGAATGGGGGCCTCCTCCTTTATTTTATTTGTTAGTTATTAGTTTTGTCCCACATAAACACATGAGGGAACACTGTCCCATTCAAGTAATGTCAAATATAACCCGTCGCTGCTCCCAGGAGGCAGTCAACGGCAGTAAAAACTTGAATTAAGTGTCAGTGACAGTTCTGTGGGCTGCTTGTCAACATTATTAAATGCTTTGCAGTCGTGGAATGTGACTTTGCAAAGTAACTGTGGTCAGATTACTCCACTGAGAGTAATGCGATTAGTTGTTAATATCAAAAATGAATATGATATCAAATGCGTTACGGCATCACTGTTCGTGACTTGCTATTAGGAAAACTAGGAATAAAACCGAGGACGAAAAAAGTGTGATTGACTTCTGTCTCGACGGTAAGACGACCTGCAGAGCTCACCTGACACATTTCTCACGCTGAGTGTTTGACGAACAAAAACAAGTCACTGGAGCAAATAATCATTCATCAGCAATGGAAGATGTTGTTAATTACATGCCTTCCTTCGGATGAACTTGACTGATCACTTATGATGTTTAAAGCAAGCTTCAATACGACATGATTGAAACAAATCATCATGCCTCTCAAAAGAGGATAGCTAAGCATGAATAATTCATGTGCTCGGGGTGTAATCAGCGAACGTAACGGGCAAACATTATTCACTACTCGTGCACTAGTTCATCAAATGCAGTACTTTGTTGGAATTCTTCAGATGATCCAGCAATGAAGGCAAAAAAAAAAAAAAAAAAGCACTTGAATGAAGCCGTCTCCTTTTGCGTGTAAACAGGGGGGAACATTAGACGAAGATCAGGCCTCCTTACGGACACTTTCCAGGTCTTTTCTGCTTTGCTGGTCAGCCACTGCGGAGAGGGTTTTTTTTTCCTTCTTTTTTTTTCTTTCTTTTAAATATTCAAATGCAACTCTGAGAACTTTCTCAGCAGCAGTATGCCGGCCAACCCGCACAGAATTAATCACACACACACACACACACACACACACACACACACACACACACACACACACACACACACACACACACACACACACACACACACACGTGTGTGCG